ACAATGCGATTACTGGCCATCTATCTCACAAATCATCAAATATAGGATATTTGAGAATTTTTAAAATATGTTTTGGACTCATTTTTCTTTATGTGGAAGGTGTCGAATAAACCGTAAAGGATAATTAGGTCAGAAAAATCGTGAACCCTTGAGATTGTTATAGCCAGCTTGCGATTTTTTAAAAATGCTAAGGAGAAGGGTGAATTTATGGTAAAATTACTTTCGGTCGCCTCTTCTGTAGCATTTCTGTAACAGAATCTTGCGGTTTGATAGAATTTTAGAGTGTTATTTACAAAAATCAATCATCGACAACTGATAAACTCAAACTTCGTTGCGAATGTAGTAAAAAAAAAGCTGATGCATAAATTGACTCGAATCATAAGTTTGGCAAAAGCATATTTGCTAAACACTAAGCACAGAATTCCCGAGTTCTAATAATGTGGATTAGAGAGATATCTCTTATCGATAAGGAGATCTTGCTCTAGGAAGCCTGGCAATGGTATAGCAAGTATAGATGACACGGATCTTTCTACAAACGTTTCGTCTAATATTGGACCTTCTATCTATCTCTTTTATCTGACTAGGTGAATCCTCAAGGAATATAATTTGACTTTTCAGCAAATTACTACCAATGCGGAGCTTCATCTTGGATTTGCTAGTTTTTTGAGTTTTTTGGTGTATCCCAACTTCATCCTCAATTTTTGCAAAAGAAGAAGTACAATCTTCAATACATTAACGACAAGTGGTGCTGAGACATTTTTTTCCCGCCATGCGTTTCTGCTATTGGTTTTGTCGTACATATGGATGTTCGATTACTTTTAATCTACCGATGTCTCATTTCAAATTTCTAGCCTCTGATCAAGAGATTTGAGTCTAGATTTGAAGTTGAAGATGCGGTGCAGTGAGCCTATTGGCTCTTCAATTCTCATTTCATTCAAGCAAATATTATTATGTGATATGATTTTGTTTGTATAAATATTTCGAGTGCTCAAAGTCAGTCACCTTTTTGTTATCTAGGAGTTTTTTCAAAGCTGAACATTCAATGGCTGCTCAGTCTTCCTATGCTAAACTACCGCCCTCTTTCGGCTTTTTTACAATGCATTAGTACATGCAAGTCCTCACTAATAATTCTTAGTTTTACACAGTTGCCACCGTCTGATTGGTTCAGTCTAGGTGCTCTCCTGATCTAAATTGATCAGGGATTGCCTGGGGTGAAACCCTGTTGGCAACGCTGTTAAGTTTGGAAAATTTCTCGCCTGTACAGCATGTAAAAGGAAGAGAAGCCCTGCACACTGGATCACATCTTTGGCGTCGGATATCATCAGGACCAGTGACAGGTTGCACAGGACGCCATAGATCTCGGACCGAAAGGACACGTCAACCTGCCAGGGAGATTGTCTCAAGCTCTGCATCCACAACGCCAGATCTTCACCAACGTCGATCTTCACGCCTTTCTCGAAACTGTAAGGCGCATCAATATCACGTAATCGGCTTACATTAAGGGAAGTCCAAGAAGACGGATGTGAGGCAGCAGAGTAGTAGCACACTCATCATTCGTGGTGATGGAGTTCCACAGGAATTAGATGATCCGTCTTGTTAGGCTCTGGACGACTTTTTCATGGTAATTTCATCTTCATGGAGAAAGAACACCGGAGTCGCTCAGCGGTATGACTCCGGAGGTGAACCTCATTTTTACCATCTGAAAAGGTGCTTACTGGAAGTCTCAATGATATCATCCTTCAGCAATGG